CCGACGACTCGCCCATATTCTCTGCCGGTGTCCTCAAAATGCCGGACCTGTCCAACAGCTCAATGCCTCCGCCGTCGATGGCCTCCACATCCCATACCTCACCGCTCAAGAAGAAGGACAGCTTCGGTCGCTCTAAAGGACTGAAAAACAAACAAAAACTAAAGACAGACTTCAGTGACTCGATTGGCTTTCTGGACGACGAGGACCTCTCCAACTCGGAGCTACTCCTACCCCAGTATCCGGTCATACGGGAGACCCTATGGCCGGACACCCCTCACAGTGACGACCATATGTTGAACTTATACAACGGTTACATAAACACCACATATCATGAACAGCAACTCATGAAGAAAGCGACGGTTCCCTCGTCTACGATGGACGACCTCTATGCCCGGTTCGCATTGAGTGCCTTACAGTGCAACGAACGCATCCGAGCCGTCGCCGAAGCCATCGACTCGGCCGACACATCCGACTCCGTACTAATGGCTGTCGGTTTGGCCCCCAAAGCGAAGCCATTGTCGCCGATTAAAGACAACAAAATTACGGGTCGCTATCGGAAGGACAGGGAGGCGGACTTGGCTAAGATTTTTGCCATGGGCAACAGATCCAAACGCCAGATACGGCTGCCCTCGCGGTTCCACGAAAGCAGTCTTTTGATGGGAAACCAATGGGTTATTCCCGACTACGACTCCAAAGGAAAGACCGGCAAAAGACGGCTACAGGAGGAGCAGAAACGCCTCCAAGAACTGCATCAGAAGCAACTCGAACACGAACTCCGCTTTCAGACGCATCACACGACCACTTCGGACACCAATGGCGCCACTGCTGACGACTCGCAGACACAGTTGTCTATCATTCATAAAAAGCTGAACAAATCGCTCAACAAAATGAAAGTGAAGACCAAGTCGGCGGCCACGACGCCCAACGGAACCGCTGTTGGATCTAAATATCAGCTGAAGATTCCGCACCAAAGGCTACGGGAAATGCAGATAATTCGCGACCAAAAGAATCAGATGAAGGCGGCGGCCAAACTGAAGACCAGCCAAACGAGTCAACAATCGCTGGACAAGTCGTTTACGTCACTGTTTTCGATGTCCCACACCGTCGGCGACAAACGGGTCCTCTCGCTGTCGGCCAAAGCGAAGGCCAGCGCATCCCAGAGGGCGCACGTGAACCAACTGTTCCGCCATTTGGCCGACACTATGAATCTGAGCAATATATCGACGATTTGCAAGAATGGAAAACTCAATAAATTGGAGACAATCAAAGAGGCCATTGAGACCATCAATAAGTTAGTCAAAAGGGAACAGCAGTTGTCATATATCCGCAAATTGTTGTCGATGTGGAACCACAAGCTCGTCCTCTGCGACAAAGTGACACAAAAAGGTTTGTTTATCATATTCTTGCGTTTAATTTGCCATTTATTGACTAAATCTGATTGAATTCTTGTGTAGATGTGAAACCGGAAGCCATAAAAGTGGTGAGCGATGTGATGAAGTCATATAAGGCGAGTGTCTGCTATAAAGTCGGAGAAGCGTTAGAGACAAAGAGCCGAGAATTGCAACACAAACGTAAATATCTTAACATTTGTTTGTTTGATGCAAAAGAATTGAATACTAATTGTTGTCACGATTTGGTGCGAATCAGGCGCTCAACTGTTGGCTAATGGGATGACAACGTATTCACTGCAAGAGAACAAAACTTTGTGTAACTCCTCTCCGGTCACGAATTCGGTGCAAATCCCAGTCCCAGTCATTCCATTCAAAGTCCCAATCAAACGGATTCACAATANCTAATGGGATGACAACGTATTCACTGCAAGAGAACAAAACTTTGTGTAACTCCTCTCCGGTCACGAATTCGGTGCAAATCCCAGTCCCAGTCATTCCATTCAAAGTCCCAATCAAACGGATTCACAATAAGACACCGAATCAGAGATTTATTTTACCAAAACTTGTGCCCATTTCTCCCAATCCTGTCAATTCAAGTCCCGAAGCACTTGTGATCCGAAGTTCCAGCAAATACCCGAAGTTGACGCCTCCTCGTTACAAAACGCCCAAACATTTCCCACTCGACACCGAGCTTACCAAACAAGAGGGTTCGCTCCTAAAGCCCCCGATTCTGACCACTCGACCCACAATTCTGAAGCCTTTCATTGTTTCCTCAAATGATGGTATGAATGAATGCGAGGCTTGTATTCCCTGTGAATTGAATTAATGTTATAAATGTGTATTGAATTACAGTAGGTTTGCATTCAAGCAATTCAGTGACGGGTCCCGTAATCAATGTGCCCAATATATC